GAGATTTGAAAATAATTAACAATCTACAATCTATCAAGGGGCCACGAGGGTTGGGGGGATGGGGGGAGGAGGGAGGGAAGAAAAGAGGAGCTGATCCCAAGGGTTCAATGGAAAGTAAATGTCTAGAAAAGAACGATGGAATGTATGTACGAATATGTCAGCTACAATTGATGTATGGATTGTAACAAGAGCTGTAAGAGCCCACAATAAAATGATTAAAAAACCAAGCAAACAAAAAAGAGTTACAGTCTCAGAAACCCACAGAAGCCTGGAGTTTTGAGTGCACCCAGAGGCACTTCAAAGGCTGGTGGTCTATTACCAAAGATCCAGTCATTGAGAACCCTACTGAGCCAGTTCTACTCTGCACTCATGGGGTCACCATGAGTTGAGATTGATTCAGTGGCAACTGGTAAGTGATGGGGGTTAGGAAGAAAGATGAGGTGATCCTCTTCCCCCAAATCATCATTGAAAACCCTATAGAGCAAGGGGATGGGGAGCAGGGGAAGGGGAACTAATAGCAATGATGATTATACAACTCCACTCCAGGGGAATGAACAACAGAATGGCAGGTGGACAGATACATTGGATGGTGTAAGATATTAGCGGGGAGGGGGGGAGGAATAGCAATAATAACAATACTTAATATAATAAGGGTTCTTGGGGGCGGGTGAGAATAAAGGGGAGCTAATACCAACAAATTCAAGAAGAAAAATGGTTTGAAAATGATGGTGGCAACAATTGTATACTCCTGCTTGATCTAATTGAACTATGGATTGTTAAAATATCTGGGGAGATCCCAATAAAATGGGGGGGAGAAAGAAAACCCTATGGAGCACAGTTCTCTGATGAGGTCGCCATGAGTGGGATTGGCTCAAGGATAGCTGGCTTATTGGGCCTGTCACATGCAGATGCCCATAATCCCCCCAAGGTGAGATCTTCCAAGGGCCTTGTGGAGAGTAGAGGGGACTTGTTGCAAGGTTGCTAAGACCTGACACAAGTGGTGACAAGCAGCACTGCCAAGGATGGGGGATCGACGTTGCATTAGGAAGACAAGGGAAAGAGTCAGAGAGTAGGGTGGTCCTCAGAATCAGGGTGCTGGAGGAAGTGGGGCAGGGGGAAAAGCTTCATATGAATCATGTTTTGAGCACACAGGTTCATGTGGCAGAGAGAACTGGGCACACTGAGTCAGTCAGCGGTGCAGGGAGGAGGTAATCTCAACCTGACTCTTCACAATACTGTTGTGTGGGGTCCCTCTCTGTCATCTGTGGGGGCACAAGGTCTCCTGTGGGTTCAGCACATCATAATGTAGCCATGCTGGGAGGATCATGGAATGTAGTCAGTGGCAGAAGGGAAAACACACCAAAGGGCTGCTTGGAAGTCAGGATCGTGAGACTGGACTTGAACGTACCATCAGGAAAGACCAATTGCTAGACTAGGAAGGACATATCACAGTCGGTAAAGTAGGGGGTCAGCAAAAAACGAGGGAGCCCCCTCCATGACATAGAGCCAACTGGACCACCATTAACAACACCACTCAAGGGTGGGGGCTCCAGGAAGATCAAGGGGAGAGCCTAGGTTGTTCGGGAAGAGCCATGGCTGCCAAGGGTCTTTGTTGCAGATGAGTTAATTTCTTAGCAAGCCAACCAGCCATAGGGTTCCTGGGGACCTGCATGCTGCCTCCCAGCTGCCCTGTGCTCAGCTCATGAACTTGGCCCCTCCTGGGCAGTAGCCACATTCCTGGACCTCCCTCCACCAGGATGCCTGCTTTTCTCCACTCACCTTCCTTCCCAGAGTCCAGTGTCTTGTGATGACACAAGGTCAGTCTCCCTGGAGAAGCTCATTTATATCTGTGGTCCCTATGTCCTTTCTCATGAGGCTCCCCTTTGATAGGGCTGTAAGCAACATGTCAGACAATTCAGTTATTCAATGGTAGCAAGAAGGGTTGTTCCATTGTCACCACCATCACCTTTGGAACCTTTCTTCCTTCTTCTACCCATTGATGTAACCTGACTAAAAATGTAGGCCAGGTGGCACCCGAGATATTCACCTGCAGGCTCTCAGAAGAACTAGCACTGGCTTGGGTCTTAGGCAGCTCAGCAGGAGAATTGTGGCAACAAGAAGTCAAAGCTAGGAATTGAGACCAGTGGAGAGATGGACTCACTGGTGTCCCCACCCATCAGGGCCCTCTGCCCCAGGTAGGTCAACAGAAACTGTGGCCACTGAGACAGGTGCGGGGCTGCCCCCTTAACCCCCTTAAGGTCTGCCCCCTTAACCCTGCTATTGGGATGAGATGGTATGGTAGTTACATAATCTCCTGTCAAGCGAAAGGGTAGAGTCTAGCCTGTCAATCAGGTCATAGCCAATCGTGTGTCTGTGTGGGCATGGCTTTCTCCTGAGGATTCTGGGAACTTCTGTGTCCTCCTTGGAAGTGGGACACACACTCTCCGCCTTCCCTTTCCTGCTGTTGAGGCACTCAGAGAGCTAGAGGAGACATGTGGAGACCTGTGCCAGCATTGAGATGCTTCCACTGCTACTGGATCCACAAGACCTTTTATACACTGGCTGTGATCTTCCTGCATTCGGCATCATTGCATGGCTGTGTGAGTCTAAAGAGGAATTTATGGACTAGTATCCGACATATGGACTAATGTTTTCTCAATATAAAATTACTCTTTGATATAAAGCTCCCTCTTATACATATATGAATGTTCCTGGGTTTGTTTCTCCAGTGGTACTCAACCTTTCTAATGCCACAACCCTTTAATACAGTACCTGTTGTGGTGACTCCTCAACCATAAAATTATTTTCATTGCTACTTCATAACTGTCATTTTACTACTGTTATGAATCAGGCAACTCCTGTGAAAGGGTCGTTCGACTCCCAAAGGGGTTGCAACCCACAGGTTGAGAACCGCTGCTCTAGACAATCCAGACTAACGCAGATGGAACAGATGGAATTGAATGGACAGAGTGCTGTCTCAGCTGATGGGGATGTGCTGGGCTGTCGGAACGCATGCATAAAGAGGGCCTCTTGGGAGGCAGCTCTGGTCTGCCAAAAGTCTGGACCCCTGTTGTCCTTCCCAAAGCCACAGGTTCATTCCAGGAGGGCTGGGGTGGGAGGCATGAGCTGCTCCAGTGGGACCAGGCAGGCCCTGGTGGTTTATGCAGGCCATGCATAGCCAGCCCCTGCCCAGGCACTGAGCAAGACCATCCAAGACGGCTGCCAGGCCCAGCTGGGATGGGACACTTGGCTTCATGTCAGTGGTAGGTTATGGGCTGAGCCCTCAGACATGAGCATGGGCCATGGGCTTTGAAGTCTGAGTAAGCCGAGAAAGCAGGAAGTCTCTGGACCCCCAGAAGCCAAGAAAGCAGGCAGTCAGTCCCTGGCCCCCAGAAGCCCCATCCCGCTAAGGCTGCCCAGGCCCATGGGCACTGTGGGGCCTGAGTGCAGGGCAATTGGCAGTTGTAGCCCAAAAGAGAGGAGGATTGTCTTACCGTGTCCTGTTCTGCGTGCCTGTGGTGGAATGTGACTGAACCACGACCATGGGAGCTCATCGAGGGTGTGAGTGTGTGCATGTGTGTATGTGTGTGCACATGTGTGAGTGGCATGTTGTATAAGTGTGTGAGGTGTGTGTTGCATAAATGTGAATACGTATGTATGTGTGAGCATGTATGAAGGTGTGCACATGTGTGAATGGATGTGTATGTGTGTGTGAATGGGCGTATACGTGTGTGTGAACGTAAGCCTGTATCTGGGTGCATTATATGTGCTTAAGTGTATTTATGAGTGTACGAATATGTGAATTTACATGTACACTGTGTGTGCATGTATGAATATGTGAGTACAAAGTGTGAATGTTGGCATGTGTGGATATGTGTAAATTGTGTGTGTGTGGTAGATATGTGAGAGTGCATGTGTGCATGAGTATTTATGCATGTGTGAGTACATGTGCACACATTGTGTGTGTATGTGAGTGTGTGACCATCATGAGACCCTCCCAAGTGACTGTAGGAGTCTGTGTCATGTGTCCCTGTCCCCATGATCATGGCACCATCTGCCTTTGTCCAAGTCTGTATGCAAGGCTGGTTCCTGCCCATCAAGAGTGTGTGGGATGGATGACTGAGTGCATGTCTTTCCTTCTCTCCTCACTAGGATGACCTCAGGGGTTTGTCCTTCTGTCCCCATTAGTCTATGTTTTCCTGGCTCAGCCCCTCACCTAGCCAGGGCCCAGCACTGAGCAGGTTTTCATGGACTGCTCCCTGCAGGAAGGGATGAAGGGTGGGGAGGGGAGAGACCCTGCCGAGGAAGCCCTCCTCAGACCAGGATCTCTGCACAAACATCCAAGGCCTCTGTGGGTGGGGGAGCACCGGGGGTGGAAGAGAGAGCCCGGACTCGTGAGCCAGACCCTAGCCCTCCTCTCCCTCCTGCCGGCCTCAGAGAGAACCCTTACCCCACTGGGCCTCGGATGGGGTCCCTCTGTGAGATGGCCCGCCCCAGTCCCATGGCCCACGGCGGGGGCTCAGAGGATGGTTGTTCAACGACTAAACAACCCAAGAGAGGTTTCTAGGTGTGTGTGCTCCAGGCTCTGTTCTCATCCTCAGCTCCAGTCCCATCACTCCCCCCCACCCCCCTCCGCATTTCTCCCAGAGGACCTGGGGACTTGTTTCGCTTTAGTTTGGAGCCATAGGCGTTCCTGGGGAGATGGCAGAACAGCACAGGGCACCGGAGCAGGCTGCTGCTGGCAAACATGGAGGCCTGGGCTACAAGGTACTCAGCAGGGTGGGCCCAGAGGCTCCAGGCACAGGCCCCACCTCCCAAACTCCCAAGCCAGGCAGTCCATGCAGAAGGCCAGCGAGGGCCAGTGCAGTTGATAGGCTACTTTGCTGACAACTTCTGCCTCTTCTCTGACCTTGTCTGAAATGAGGTGTGCCTCCCCACAGCCTCCCTGTCTCCTGCCCCTGGAGTGCTTCAAGCCCCGACTCTACTGTCTAGCCACAGTGCTTGCCCCTGGCCTAGCCCTCAACAGCTGTGTCTGCAAGATGGGAAGAAGCCCCACCAATCTCCACCCAAAGGGAGGCACTCAAGAGCGCAGAGGGCAAATGGGATCTGTGGGTTGGGCCCTGGGGAAGTCACATGGGTCATATGCCCCATCGCTGATAGAGGAAGAAAAGCCTGGTGGCCTGCTTCTGAAAGTCAGGGCCGCCTGGACTTGGTTTTGGCTTTGGCCTTTTCTAACCCATGCCTGGGGCTGAGTTTGAGGGAATTCAAGGTGGGGTCTGTGAATAGTGTGATAGAATACATGGGGAGGGGCTCTTCTGAGGGTGTGCTGGGCCTTTGCTGAGAGGCAGAGAGACAGCTCTGAAATGCCTAAAAACCAACAAACTCACTGCCCTAGAGTCAATGCTGACTCAAAGCGAGCCCCCCGCCCCCCCATGGGTTTCTGACACTGTACTTTTTAAAAAAGTTAGCTCCAAGTCCCAAACTTCATCTTCTGAATCACCTTACTCAAATATGGTGAGCTATTAGAAGCATCCCATCCTGGGACACAACACTGTAATTTTTACAGGAGTAAAAAGCCCAGTCTTTCTTCCACAGAGCAGCTGATGGTTTTCAACTGCTGACCTTTTGGATTACAGCTGAATGCGTAACCACTATGCCACCAGGGCTCCTCTGAAATGCCAAGGATTTAGAAAATTCCTGGAGCAGCTGCCAACCTTTCCCTGTCTCCTCTTTGCCATCTCTGGGCTGCTCCTGGTGGGGGGAGAAAACAGCCATTACTGTAAAGTGTGGAGCAGAGGGTCCACCATCCATTTTGCTGTGCAGCCCCAGGCAGGTGACTTACCCTCTCTGGGCCTCTGGCACTGTTGTCAAATGACCAGAGTGGACATCCTAAGGGGCCATCTGCAAGAGCAGTTATGTATCTAGGTCTGTGGCCTGCTTTGGCAAAGTCCCTTCCCCACTGGGCAAGGCTTACATGCTGGTGTGTGTGTCCTGTGTGGGAGTTTTCACTAAGGACATTTCAAATGAAGGAAAATATGGATTTCTGACTCCTCAGGACAAGTTTGTATCTGGATCCACATTCTACCCTGGGTTTGATTTCTCTGAGGTCACTCCGTTCTATTGAGTCACTGGACATGTCCCCCACCCCATTCCCTCAGTCCCCTCTGATTGCCACTGCGTTAACTGACCTGAGAGTCCCGGAGGCTTTTCCCATCGCAACCACCAGGGCTTCTGCTGCGGGGAGGCTGGTGCTGGGGGACACACCCAGAGGGGTGCTTAGGATACTGTCCTTCCAGGTGACCATGTATGAGCTGGAGAACTTTCAGGACAAGCGGAACGAACTCTCGGCTGAGTGCCGCAACCTGCTGGACAGCCTGCTGGAGAAGGTAGGCTCCATCCAGGTGGAGTCTGGGCCGTAAGTTCCTGGACCTTGCCCACCCCCCCTCCACACCCCATAGCCCTTCTCCTATCCCTGGGCCTTTTGAGTCAGGCTGGAGCCCTAAGCCTACTCTGGGGCCTTGAGCAACTCCCTCCCTCTATCACACCTCAGTTTTCCCATCTGTAAAATCGGGGAGTGCCGTGTCATTCTCTAAGTAGCCTCTAACCCTGCACCAGAGGCCAGCTGCCCTTCACCCAGTTCAGTGTCTGACAAGTGGGGTTTAGTCATTGTAATTTTAATCACAACACAAACATAAAATGATGCTCCACAGTATTAGGGAACCCTTTATCATCCTATGAGAGAGATTTATCTTTATGAACCCCACTCTACTGAGGAGGAAACTGAGGTCTAAGGGGTTAAACGATCTGTCCATGATCACAGATCAAGCAGGTGGCCCAGTGGGATTCTAAATCTTGCCTTTGGATTGAAAATCTGAGCCCTTGTCCTAATCATCTAGGTCCAGGGTGGGGAACATCCAGCCCAAAGGCCATCTCAGACCTGCGAAACCAACCCAGCTCACATCACATCACCTGCCTCTCCAGAGAGAAGCCATTCTAGCCACCACATTGGGGGAGAGTTCATTAGATGTTTGACCAAATGGAGGAGGCTAAGTTTTTTAAATCATTTTATTGGGGGCTCATACAACTCTTATCACAATCCATACATACATCAATTGTGTAAAGCACATTTGTACATTTGTTGACCTCATCATTCTCAAAACATTTGCTCTCCACTTAAGCCCTTGGTATCAGCTCCTCATTTTCCCCCTCCCCCCTCACCCCCCCCTCCCTCATGAACCCTTGATAATTTATAAATTATTATTATTTTGTCATATCTTACACTGTCCGACGCCTCCCTTCACCCACTTTTCTGTTGTCCATCCCCCAAGGAAGGGATTATATGTAGATCCCTGTAATCAATTCCCTCTTTCCACTCCACCCTCTCTCCACCCTTCCCATATTGCCATTCTCACCACTGGTCGGTAAGGGATCATCCGCCCTAGATTCTGTGTTTTCAGTTCCTATCTGTACCAATGTACATCCTCTGGTCTAGCCAGATTTGTAAAGTAGAATTGAGATCATGATAGTGGGATGGGGGAGGACAGGGGGAGGAAGCATTTAGGAACTAGAGGAAAGTTGTATATTTCATTGTTGCTGCACTGCACCCTGACTGGCTTGTCTCCTCCCCTTGATTCTTCAGTAAGGGGATGTCCAGCTGCCTACAGATGGGCTTTGGGTCCCCACTTGGCACTCCTCCTCATTCACAATGATGTGATTTTTTGTTCTTTGATGCCTGATAACTGATCCCTTCGACACCTCATGATCACATAAGCTGGTATGCTTCTTTCATGTGGGCTTTGTTGCTTCTGAGCTGAGGAGGCAAATTTTTAAGTTGATCATTTTGTATGGCCCTCCAATGATGTTATAAATAAATATCCATATAACTCTTGGTGGAAAAGAGATTCCACACCCCTGATATTGGGGAAATTGTTTCATCTCCTGGGCTTTGGTTTTCCTCAAGAGACTGGGGGTATTAGTGGTAACACGTAAGTAAATAAGTAATAATAATGATAATAACCATGTTGTTATTAGGCGCTATTGAGTTGATTCTGACTCATAGCAACCCCATACACAATGGACCAAAACACCACCCAGCCCTGCACCATCCTCAGAATGGTTGTTAGGGTTGAGCCCATTGCTGTAGCCACTGTGTCAATCCATCTTATAGAGGGTCTTCCTCTTTTTCACTGACCCTCTGCTTTACCAAGCATGATGTCCTTCTACAGGGACTGACTGGTCTCTCCTGACAGCAGGTACAAAGTATATGAGACAAACTCTTGCCATCCTTGCCTCTAAGGAAGATTCTGGCTGTACTTCCCCCAAGACAGTTTGTCGGTTCTGTTGGCAGTCCAGGGGACTTCTAATATTCTTTTCCAGTACCATTAGTCAAATGCATCAGTTCTTCTTGAGTCTTCCATATTCATTGTTCAACTTTCACATGCATAGGAGGCAACTGAAAATGCCACAGCGTGGCTCAGGCCACTATAAACAATAACCACAATAAGTAAAGGCCTGGGTGCCAAGCACTGAGATGAAGATTGGGTTGAGAGTCCTAACCAGAGGCCAGACGTAAGGCAGAGTCCCAGACATTTCCCAGGCTGGCTTAGGAATCAGTAGTAAGGCTGGAGGGAGGGTCAGCTGCCAGCTCAGCAGATCTTGAGCTCTTTTAACCTGCGAGTCTCTCTCCTCCTACAGGTGTCTGACATTTGAATGCAGGGCCTTCTGCGGGGAGCAATTTGTCCTGGAGAAGGGTGACTACCCTCACTGGGATGTCTGGTCCAGCAGCCACCACAGTGACAGCCTTCTGTCCCTCTGACCACTGCATGTTGTGAGTACAGCTTCTTGCCCATTGCTGGGGACTCCTGGCTGCAGGACATGCTGGGAGCTACTCAGAAAAGCTCACTGTTACAAGCTCTTGCAGAGGGCGGAGTCCACCCTCCTATGTCTGACCTAAATGATTGTTTCAGGCCCACAAACACTAGACCCAGAATGACCACTGGGTTGTGAGTTAGGTCCCCGGTGTTCATAACACAAATCAGCCACCATCCCTTGTACAAGGACATCCCTTGTAACCCTCCAAAACCAGCTCACATGGCCCAGGCTCACAAATTCCAGAAAACAACTCCAGAAATGAATCGAAAGTAAATATCTCAAATTCTTCCCTTGTATTTCTCAAATAACCAAGAGCAGTGGTTCTCAACCTTAATGCTGCGACCCTTTAATAGTTCCTCATGTTGTGGTGACTCCCCAACCATAGAATTATTGTCGTTGCTACTGTATAACTATAATTTTGCTATCTTATGAATCGGGTGACCCCTGTGAAAGGGTCATTCGACCCCCAAAGGGGTCACAACCCACAGGTTGAGAACCACTGACACAGTCCACCGTGATGCTTTAAAAATGCCTCTTTCAGAAAAAAAATCCTCTTTCCTACTACCACCCCCCCCCCCCAGCTGACATTTACTCACATATTCTCCTCGTCCCGGAACCCTGATGGCGTCGGGGTTGTGCACTGACTGTTGATTCATGACGGCTGTAGCTTAAAACCACTTGCCACTCCACAGAGGAAAGAGGGGCTTTCTGCTTCCATAGAGCGTTACGGTCCTGGAACCCCACAGGGGCAGTTCTGGCCTGTCCTATGGGGTCACTATGAGTCAACATTGACTCTATGGCCGTGAATGAGTTTCTCCTCTTCCCAACACAAGGCAAAATCTGAATCCAGTGTAGTCAAGAGTGAAAGCTCGGGAGAGTTGGGGAGAGAGGGGGAAAAAGAGGAGCTGATACCAAGGGCTCAAGTAGAAAAATTTTTTTTTGGAAATGTTGGTGGCAACATATGGACAAGTGTGTTTAATACAATTGAACGATGGATTGCTATAAGATTTGTAAGAGCCCCCCAATAAAATGACTTTTTAAAAAAGAGTGAAAGCTAACGATGCATAAGTGATCCTGATCATTTTTCTCCCTCTCTGAGCCTCAGTTTCCCCATCTGTAAAACGGTAGGATGGACCCGATTTGAAAGGCCTCCCTTTGGTCTCTACACTATGTCTCTAGGGCTCCCACATCCTCCTCAGACCCTCAGGTGCTGGGTTTGGGGTGGGTTCTTTTGGTGTGTGTCTTGATTCTGGAGCCCCATTCTGGGGTCAGGAGAAGCTGCTTCACTCCATGATCTTGCCTACAGGATGGTCCAGACCATAAGTTGCATCTGTTTGAGAATCCAGCTTTCAGTGGCCGAAAGATGGAGATAATGGAAGAGGATGTGCTCAACCTCTAGGCCCATGGCTTCCAGGACTGGGTGGCAAGTGTCTATGCCATCAGTGGGATGGAAGGGAAATGATGCATAAAATGATGAATAGTTGAGTGGATGGAAGGAAGGACAGAAGGAGGGATGGACTGATGATGGGTGGATGAATGAGTGGATGAGTGGGTGAAAGGATGGATGGGAGATAGGTTAGATGGATTATTGGGAAAATAGAAGAATGGATTGATGACTGCACAGGTGGATGTAAGCTAAGCTAGATGAATTATTGGGAGAATAAATTGAATAGATGAATTGATAGATTTATAGGTGAATAGATAGGTGGATGGATGGGTACATTTGCATATGTATGTATTTATGTATATATAAATATAGATGATGGATGGTTGTATGTATGTATATGTATGTATGAATTGATAGATGGATAGGTAAATAAGTGTATTTATGTATGAATAGGTATATTTATGTATGTATAGGTAGATTAATAGGTGGCTGTTTGGATGGATGGGTAGATGATACATGGACAGATAGATAGATGTGGATATATCAATGAGAGAATAAATAGAAGGGAGAATTCTTGACCCTCTCTCCTACCCCTTCCTCTGGTCAAGCACACATCTGGCTCCTCGCAGAATTGCTATTTGAGGCTTCTTGTTCCTCTGGGGCTGGAGGAACCTTCACATAGCTATACTTCCATCAATCCTAGAAGCCCCCATGAAGGGAAGGCACAATTTCAAGCACTCCAGGACCACTGGGATTTCCAGGCAGTTCTGTGGGTTCAGCATTGGCCTGCAAACTTCCAGGTTGGTAGTTAAAACCTACCAGCCACTCCTCAGGAGAAAAATGAGGCTGCCTGCTCCCATAAAGACAACAGTCTTGGAAACTCCACAGGCAGCTCTACTCAGTCCTCCAGGGGTTTCTCTGAGTCATGTTCAACTCAGTATCGGGGGGTTTGGTTTTAGGTATGTTTTACTTGTGGTCTTGTGAGCTGGGGATACTCCTGGAAAAGAATCTATCCACATGTTTTACCAACTATGTGCGTATGAGATACAGGGAGATAGGGGAGGTGAGGATTGAAAATGTTGCTGCTTCTGCCCTCAAGAAGAATCTCACAATTGGGTAGGGAGACAAACAGGAAAGCAGGGGATCATAGTTCATTGTGGTTTGGATTGTGCACACTGGGGTCCAGAGGAAGTGCTTGACTTGGCCTGGGGGAGTTGGGAAGGCTTCCTGGAGGATGAGGCATTTGAACTGAGATGGAAAGCATGATAGTGAAAGATGGGGCATGAGGTGGGATAAAGATAAAGCAAGGAAGTGTGTTTCAGGCAGGTGGAACAGCACATACAAAGGCTCAGAGGCACAGCAGTGTATTGGTCTGGGTACTTTAGAGAAACAAATACACAGAAACTTATTATAAGAGAGAGTTTTATATGAAGGTTATGTGCGCACCAAGAAAACATCCCAACCCAGTGCTGCCCAAGCCCACAAGTCCAACATTAATCCATATGTCCGACACCAATCGACGAAGTCCTCCTCCATCTCCCAAAACAGATGCAATGATGCCGACTGCAGGAGGAAAGCTGAGTCAGTGATTGTATAAGCATCTCAGCACTGTCAGGGGTCTCCACACAGCTGCTCCAGCACCCAGGGCTGCATCGAGGTAGGTCCATGTGGCTTCTCCTTGGGGATGTCTTGCAGGAAGTCAGTCTTGCAAGCTGAAGCAGGGAACTGCTAAGGCAGTTGCACCCTGGTGCGACCATCACAAAGCAAGAGACCCAAGAACTCGAAAGGCGAGGCTCATTGAGCCATTTATCCCACCACCCTTCAATTAATCCCACATGTGTTTATCGGCCAGGTTGGCACAATTAACTAACTCAGGCAGCTTCCTGGAAAACAGGATAAATAGGAGAGGCTGACAGGGCAAGATATGACAAAATAATAAGTTTATAAATTATCAAGGGCTCATGAGGGAGGGGGGAGTGGGGAAGGAGGGGGAAAAAAAGAGGACCTGATGCCAGGGGCTTAAGTGGAGAGTAAATGTTTTGAGAATGATGAGGGCAATGAACGTACAAATATGCTTTACACAATTGATGTATGTATGGATTATGATAAGAGTTGTATGAGCTCCTAATAAAACGATTAAAAAATAAATTAAAAAAAGAGAGGCTGGGGTTGAGGGTGTAAGGAGGATTGGTATGAGATGAGGCCTTTGTGCAGGATCTTGTGGGCATAGTAAGGAGTTTGAGTTCATTCTGAGGGCACGCACTGGGGAGCCACAGAGGACTCCAGACACGGGAAGAGCATGGTTAAGATGCTGGCTTACCAAAGCTGTCTGACTGAAGATAGGCAGATTGGAGGCAGGCTGATGTTGACACCCCAGCAGGGGGGTTGGCTATGAGTTCCCTGGCTATCGTGGCTGCCAGTATGTGTTCAAGCAGGGAGAGTACCAACACTGGAATGCCAGCCAGCCTCAGCTGCAGTGTGTGTGCCACATCTGAGACCAGAAATGCACAAGTGGGACTGCTTCCTTAGTAGATGAAGGGCACCCAGGCCTAGCAGCCCTGCCCACCCCGAGGAACAGCAGAGCCAAGAAGAGGGGCTCCAGGACTGGGCAAGGGCCTGCCCATCCACCCTTCCCTGAATCTGCTCAATAAAACCGGGGTCAGTTCCCTTCCTGCTTAGTCCTCTGAGTCACTTCACTTTCTTTCCAAGAGGGGTTAGATGAAGGGGGTAAGATCTGGAGGTTCTGAGACCCCTGGGAAAGGATGAGAGCTAGGCTCATACCCATGACTCTGTTCTTTCAAGTAGAACCTCACATACACCTCTGTCCCTCATTTGTCTTCCTGTCTGTTTATATGAATGTGTATCAGTTGTTCCATCCATCCATCCATCCATCCATCCATCCATCCATCCATCCATCCATCCATCCTTCTTTCTTTCCTTTTTCCTATCTATTCATTTGTCCATCATTTTCCCTCTCTACCCAGCTGTCAGTCTTTTTTTTCATTAACTTATTCAGCAAATGCCAGGCCCATCCAAGGTTTGAGGAAACAGCAGTAAACAGATCAATGCCAGGTAATTCTTAAAGGACCTGAGGCAAACATGCTTTAGGGTGATGGAGAAATGCTCAGGAGGATGAACGGAGAAAGTGCGAGGCAGAGAGTGGGAGGGGAAGGAGCTAGAACAGTGGTGGGGGTAAGTCATTCAGGGCTCCAGAGGATCTGGAAGGCTTGCTCTTCTCATGGAAGATGGGAGTCATGGGGAATCCGGAAAGGAAGGCAGATGCAGGACTTCATTCTAGTGGTATGCAGAGAATAGACTGTGGGGTCTGGGGTAGCAGGGGAACCAACAAGGGGCTACTGCAGCAATTGGGGGAGCAATGATGGTGTGCTAGGGCGGGTTGACCAGAGTAACAAATTCAGTGACACTCATATGTGTAAGAGAGAGCTTTAGCTTTATATCAAGAAGTAGTTATATATCAGGAAAATATCCCAGTCCAGTCTAGATCAAGTCCATAAATCTGAGACTAGTCCATAAATTCCTCTTCAAATTCATACAGCTAAATGTAATGCAGGAAGCTCACAGGCTGGTGGATGCAGAGTCTTGTGGACCCAATGGTGGTGGAAGCATTACGAGGCTCTCACAGGACATGGTATAGCTCACCAACAAGAAGGTTAAGCAGAGAGAGGGGGAAGTTCCCAGGATCCTCCTTATGAGAAGGCCACACCCACAAGGAGGTACCATCAGGCTGTGACCTAAACTCCACCTCTTCACTTCCATATCTTCAAGTTGACATGACATTATGTAATTACCACAGATGGTGACCCGTTTATCCAAGCCCCAGTGTCTCTGACCCCCTGCGCTGAGGTCTTCTGCAGCCTTGGCTGGGATCAGAGTTCCTGGAACCTCCATGCCTGCCCTTTGCTGCTCTGAGCCCCTGGCATTCTCTGGGCAATGGGTGATGCTGGGGACAGGCAGGGGAGGACAGCGGGGCTGCTGTGGCAGTGCTGACCATCCTGTGCAGCTCCCGAGCCTGGGGAAAGGAGGACTAACAGTGGCTTCCTAAAGTCCCACCCCTCCCACGTCCATCCTGCACTTCATTTCCTGACTTTATTTTCCCCATTGTATCCTGCACTCAATGGTTGAGACCTCGGTTACTCACCACAAGGTTGCTGGTTTGAACCCACCTAGAGGCTCCATAGGAGAAAGGTCTGGAGATCTGTTCCCATTAAGATGGAGACTAGCAGGCCCTGTGGGCAGTTCTTCTCTGATGCATAGGTTGTTCTGGGTTGGAGTTGACACACATCACCTAACAACCACAACCCCAAGCCCACCTCAGCCCGCACCCCAGAAGCCTCTGAGTGGTCAAGGTATGGAGCAGTCCAAGGGGGCCTTAGGAAGTCCTTCAGAGGACAGTGGTGATTTTCTGTCATGGCCACCTACATCTCAAAACAACAAACTCACTTTGGCATCATTTCACTTTGGGTTGTATGTGGGAGTTAGAGCAGATCTAGGGCTAGAAGTCATTGTTCTAGGGCATGCCACCCCCCTCTCTCAAACAGAGAGAGACCTTGCTCTACTCTGTAAACCAGCCCAAACTCACTGCCATTAGGTTGATTCCAACTCATAACGACTGAATAGGACAGGGTAGACTTGCTCTTCTGAGTCTGTAACTCTTTATGGGAGCATCTTTCTCCGTTGACCCAGCTGATGGGTTTAATTGCTGACCAACGTGTAGCTACTGTGCCATCAGGGCTCCAGTCTATAAATTAGTGCTGGCTAATTAATCGCTGCAAAGAGCTTATACAACTTAAAAAAATATATATATAGATGTATATATATTTGAGAATATACAGAGGAATACATACAGCAATTTAACAGTTTCTACTCTCAGTGGTGTGGAGGACAGACTACACGTTTTGCAATCGTTCTCACCCTCCTCTTCTGAGCTGTTCAACTGGATGTTAAAGTCAACCCTGAGGTTCTCATTTCATCTTTCTTCTTGCTGTTGTCAGTTCGATCCCATATAGGTAATTCTTTTTGTTTTTTTTTCTTTTAAAATTCATTTTATTGGGGGCTCATACAGCTCTTATCACAATCCATACATCCATCCATTGTGCCAAGCACATTTGTACATTTGTTGCCCTCATCTTTCTGAAAACATTATTCTTTCTACTTGAGCCCTTGGTATCAGCTCCTCATTTTTCCCCTCCCTCTTCATTCCCCCTCATGAACCCTTGATAATTTACAAATTATTATTATTTTGTCTTGTCTTACACTGTCTGATGTCTCCCTTCACCCCCTTTTCTATTGTCTGTCCCCCAGGGAGGGGGTTATATGTAGATCCTTGTGATCGGTTCCCCCTTTCTACCTCTCCTTCCCCTCCTGGTATCACAACTCTCATTATTGGTCCTGAGGGGTTTATCTGTCCTGGATTCCCTGTGTTCCCAGCTCTTATCTGTACCAGTGTGCATCCTCTGGTCTAGCTGGATTTGTAAGGTAGAATTGGGATCATAATTGTGGGGGGCAGGAAGATTAAAGAACTAGCGGAAAGTTGTATGTTTCATCGTTACTATACTGCACCCTGACTGGCTCTTCTCCTCCCTGCAACCCTTCCATAAGGAGATGTCCAGTGGCCTACAGATGGGCTTTGGGTCTCCACTCCACACTCCACCCCCCTCATTCACAATGATATGATTTTTTGTTCTGATGATGCCTGATACCTGATCCCTTCGACACCTTGTGATCGCACAGGCTGGTGTGCTTCTTCCATGTGGGCTTTGTTGCTTCTGAGCTAGATGGCCACTTGTTTATCTTCAAACCTTTAAGACTCCAGACGCTATACCTTTTGATAGCCAGGCACTGTCAGCTTTCTTCACCACATTTGCTTATGCACCCGCTTTGTCTTCAGTGATTGTGTTGGGAAGGTGAGCATCATGGAATACCAGTTTAATAGAACAAAATGTTCTTGCACTGAGGGAGTACTTGAGTAGATACCCAATGTCCATCTGCTATATAGGTAATTCTTAAAAGAGTCTAGTGTGCAAGGATGACTTTTTTGACTAGTTAAACTAAACTATTGTTTGATTGTCAGGAGAATTTTGTTGTTGTTTAAGGTTTAAAGATGATCTCAGGGCTATACTTTCAAGGCGTCATCCAGTCTCTGTAGCTCCAGAAAGTCTGAATTCCATGAGAAATTAAAATCTGATTCTATATGTCCCCCCTTTTGATTATAATTCTTCTATGGATTCTTGGATCAAAATGTTCAATAATGATAGCTGGGCATCATCCAGTTTATCTGATTTCACTGTAAAGAAGGCAGGTGTTTATGGAAGCAATCAGTCCCATAGTCCATATCTTTTGAACTCTTCTTCCTCTGTTTATTTTATTTTAAAATACATCATATCATTGGATCGGAAGACAACCTAAGGAGGTACGATGCATTGTTAATCTGACTTAACAGTGAAGGAAATTTAGGCTTAGAGAGGCAACATTACTTTCCCAGGCACATGTGTTGTGGGAAACAGAAAGATTTCTCCCAAGTCGTCTTCCCCAAATATATGTTTGTCTTAGGACACTGCTTACAGTTAATGGTAAATGATTTGTCAAGTTACCTCCCTAAAGGCATTCAGTTGCCAGACTACTGTCTGACCCCACCACAAGCTGGGCCTACTCTCTGTTGTTAAGGACAATGGGATACTTCTCCCTAAAGGCTTGCAGTCATCAGTTTGGTCCCTGCAGGGTGGGTTTACACCCTACTGATAATGTTTATTTAAAATCATTTTGTTAGGGGCTCATACAACTCTTATCACAATCCATACACACATCAATTGTGTAAAGCGCATTTGTACATTCATTGCCCTCATCATTCTCAAAACATTTT